AGCAAATCATCACTGATTCTCGGAACATATCGCTTTCCAAAAGCTTGTCACGCATTACTCCATTTAAGCAATTTTCAAACAAATCAACTGCTCTTTGATTAAACTGGGAATGATCCCTCAAAAGTTGCCATTCTCGTACCTTCTCTCTTCGAAACACCACTTTCTACATCCCAAAGGGTAATAAATATACACAGGTTTCTCCCCATCCTCATCTACTTCTCCTCAATCCTCTCTCCAGATGATACTATTCGACAAACTCCACCGAGTCGGAATCGACGTAGATTTCCTCGACTTCCTTACTGTCTTAAACCAACATTTCAATACTTGTATGTTCCAACGTCTCTCGTTAGTCGAATTGTGCTAACCCGCTAGGTCTCTACTCAGATTTACCTCCTCCAACTTGGATCTTTTTTCCTGACTCTGTCGCCGTCAAAATGCACCTATGGAAGAAATATGCTTTCAGGATTAAACACTTCGGAACCCCTCAGGCCGTATGTTCCATCTATCGGTTAGACCATGTGTCCACAACCCCGCAAGAGCAACGTACGTAGTATTTGGTATTCCAATGCTACAGCCTGAATAATAATGCTTTTGTCCTTCAGGTTGCTATGTGGAGATCGTGACTGAGTTCCAGAAACGTGGATTGCCACACGTTCACTCCTCACCCCGTCGCATAAGGGGACACACCACGGTTTCTTACGACGACGTTTACCAAGTCGCCTCTTGTGTCTTGTTGTAGTCCATTACGCATAAGACTGCACAACATATATTCTCTTCTTGCCGTAATTATCCTACACTTCCTGGCCCTCCATTATTTGTTACCTCGAGGCTTTCACCAAGTTTTTTGTTGTAAAGTCACTTAAACATACTGCATACGCTGTATTTCGTCTCCCCACACGTGAAAATTATTTGTGCTCTCAGCTATCAAACCTGTTGGATGCGTCATAGCCCATGAGACTTTTTGAATATACACATACGCGTCTCCAACTCATGGTCGCTTCAGTACACTACACCGTTAGATGTATAGAACCATCTTCACCTGACCAGATACTATCCTGTGTTAAACCTGTGGAGCAAGAAACGCTTTGCCACCGAAGGTCTCCCTACTGTTAAGTTTTGCCTGCCTGACTTCAATACATTGATAAAGTCATACACCCCCCGGCAACAATGGTGAGGCAGTACTGCTTGCTTTACTGGCCCTTCACCGTAAGTCAGGCGCTGAGCAGATACAGATAGATTTCACATAGTTCACTTAATACAAAAACACACGCACAAAGTAATACGACACTGATGACAACAATAAAACAAATACATTTGCTAAGCCCAGATTTCAAGCAAGGAGAAGCTCGCGACACACAACATTCGTCGTTGTCCGTGTTGCGACCTGCGTTGCGAGAGATACTTTGAAATTACGTAAAGAAGTGCATCTAGATAACGCTACGTAAAGCTGCCCATGTGCAAACGCAGGGCTGGGAAGGAATATGCCAACTTTTTCAAGACTTTGTCCTTGAGCTTTGTTGATCGTCATGCAAAAAGCCGATACAACTGGAAACTGTTTCCTTGAGAACGGTATAGGCTGATCCAAGTCTCCATGATGGATCAGCCTCATCCTCGGAAGTGCGATAATCTCACCTCGTTTTGGACCGGTGATGACCACGCAACGGAGCAGGTATTCGGATATGCTAATGATCACCAATCTAGTCCCGTTGCAGAGGCCTGAACCTATGCTTAAGTTCCTCAGTACCATTATTGGTTGTCCAACCTCCAAAAACAATCTATGTTGCGGAAACCCTGCGAAATCTATCTTATTCAAGATCTCCGGTGTCATCGGATCCGCAAAGTTAGCGTCAGGATCGTCTAGTGAGACGGAGCATGACATAGCACCCGGAGTCCCTTCCAAAATTGTGTTGTTTACTTTAGCCACCATGTCATTGAATGGAGTTATTAAGCCTCTCTCGGAAAAGTATGTTGCAGTTTGATTTGATGATGGGTTAGCCATTGTCTCCGCCAGGTCGTCGTACAACCAAGATATTAGCTTGACAGGATTCTCAGTGAATGGTGGGACCTTTTGGACGTTGACGTGTTCAAGAGCAATTGATTGCCTGTCCCGATCCTGAAGTTTCCCGTCGCCGAGATCCAATAGCCATTTCGCATACTGCCGTGCTTCGGAGTTATCACCCTCCCCGTCAGTCCTCAACAGCAGGTTGATCTTCAATTTGAATGTTCTGATGAGAGGCCACAATACGGAAGATTTTAGGCAAGCCCACTTTTGATCCGACAGCGTACCATGTGGTACGATAGGCAGCGTTTGCCGGAAATCCCCCGAGAAGATGATGTTAATCCCACCGAAAGGCTTCGAACTCTTTTTGATGTGTTGCAAACTACGGTCAACGGCCTCGATGCAGTGTCTATGTTGCATAGACACTTCGTCCCAGATTATAACTGGGGCCGACAGGATCTTCTGGCTCTTATCATCTCTTCCATTCAAGTCGCACGTGCTGGTCTCATCGATGGTGATCGGGATATTAAAGGCTGAGTGGGCTGTTGTACCACCACTAAGCAGCAAAGCTGAGACTCCCGAGGAAGAAACTGCCACTGGGGTGAATCCTTCACCTTTGAAGAAGTGAAGGATTGTGTTCAACGTGTAAGTTTTTCCTGTCCCACCAGGACCGTCTAAGTAAGAGATTGTTTGCGTTTTAGCCCTGTACCCTCCCAGAACATAGTCGACGAAGCGCCTTTGGTCATCGTTGAGATTACTCTGTTCAGCTTCGAACAAAGCACGACTCCTCCCAATATCGATCCCAGGAATTTGCGTCGGCAAAAGAGTCAATCCTGGTTGGTTCGTCATTTGCTCCTTAAGGCCCAAGCTAAAACCAACGTTATCAGTTTCTTTTCCCATGTTGAGTAAACTTTCATTTAATCTTTTGAAACCATAAGCGTATCGTAAAGCTTTATCGATTGTACCGACATGACCCAGCGATTCCAACGTGGCTTCGACGTCTTCTGTCAAAAAGTCAGCGAATTGTGACCACAGGCTATCCGGCGAAGACACCGGTCCATAAGTTAACATCAAACTGAACAGCTCCCGCAACTGATGAGCCGAAGCCCATAACGATGCCTCTGTTAAAGCCGCCTCGTGGTGCTTATCAGACTCTAATAAGCCCAATTTTTCTGCGGCCTCACGAAAAGTGCTATACGTGACCCCGTCAACAGTTCTCAAGTGAAGAAATGATTGAGGCCCTTTGATGTTGAATAACAGGAGTCGCAACAAATACTTCTCTCCATCCGCTACTTTTGCGTAGTGCACTCGACCGATTGTCCGCAATTTCTTGGTTCGAGCCTTGAAATTTTTGGCCCTCTTATTCCATGTAAAGTGTTTTGTGACGTCGACGTAAAGCAGGCTTCGAGCGTAAACGTTTTCGTGTCCTTTCGCATTGTCTTTACATAGCCGGAAGAAAGATGTCAAAGTCGAATTGGGAGGCGGACCAACAGTCACTTTCTGTTTTGCCTCTTGCTCGTCTTCGTAATAGACCAACTGCTCATTCTCTAAATGAAGGTTCAAGTTCATCACCGCTGGTTTCCTCTTGTTCATGAAGAACTTGAACAGACGCCAAGCACCTTCACCAAAACGTCAGTATGTTCGTCACGTCCAGGATATGTTACAATTATGTACTTACATTCTGGCGCGCTAATGTATCGGCAATCTTGATACTCCTTTGTTTCGTCATGTACCTCAGGCTCCACCTTCTTGGGCTCGGTTCGCTTTCGCTTCCGGGTCGGGGAGACCCCTTTCGAGGTGGATGCAGTTGGGACTTCACAGGCAGGAGCCGGATTCTGGTCAGGTGCTGTTTCCATATAGATTCTAGTTTTATCATATCCCTTAGTCACGTATTTATATAGATATCTGATCGGTTTCGTTCCCACCGGAATCTCCACGTTGATATGGCACTCCATTAACATCAACAGATACTTATTATAGGGTACAAGGTGTTGATTGGTATATGTAAAAGAAGACTTCGAAACGGACCGTCCATTGTCTGGCCTCAAATAGTTGGGGAAAGAAGCGTCCGACACGGATGTTTCTTCTGCGAAAGGTTTCGGAAAGCGAGACCGGCACCTTCCATCGATCCAGCAAGGGCCTCCTGGTCGGCAAGGCCCATGGAGCATGAACGTTTCTACCAAAGTGTGGAGCCGCCCCTCAGTAACGGGATCGGGAAGCTGCGCCGTTACCAAACTGTCGATCTCGTCGGCTGTTTTCGGTCGAGATGCCTCATCCATGATGAATAAAAGATGTGCGTGAGGTAGGCCACGTTTCTGAAACTCAACGACGCCTAGGTACGAAATACACTTCCCCAACCTCCCCATGTCGTAAATCTCACTCAGGAGGCGTATTAGTTTCAGGTAAAACACGCGAGCTACAATATCCGGTTGATCAGAAGGAGTTTCACCGTATTTCAGTGGATTCTGGATCTCGGGCCAATTTGGGTTTGCTGTCATGGTGATGAACAAACTCGGACTCCCAAATTCCCTCACTAAGGCCATCGCATCGTGATACAACTTGTGCATATGGCGAGGACCTCCCCCGAAAGTTGAAGGTAAAATAATTTTCCTTCCGGTCGGGCCTTGGTTCCCGTCGAAGGCCTCGCGCAACCCTTGATATAAATCAGCTTTAATGGTCTTTTGATTGTTCTTATACCACCGCAGCCGGCTTCTTTCAACACATAGGTAGAGGTCTACAATCAATTGCTGCGTCAGTCTTCGTCCATGAAGAAAAGGGGAAAATTGTCTATTCCTCTCATATAGGAGATACGCGCCCCATTCGAGATTCGTAACTTTGAAATCATCTCGTTTCCCTAAGCCAGACTCGTCAGTTTCAGAAAAGGTAACACAGGCATATTCTACAACTCACTTTTGTTGTTTTGTTTCACAGTAGGTGAAACATAATCATCATCCCACTGCTGCGACCCAAAAGGTAACATGAGTGGATACCGAAGAGGTAAGTAACCAGTACTTAAATCCGTAATGTGCTTTAGCTTATTATTCTTTCGATGGAGGATAATGTGTCGGGGCTTATCGTCTAAATTTTCAGATGATTCGACGATTGCAGCGACATCTTGAGGTCGGGGTTTGTTATAAGTTTTCACTTCTCTTTTCCCCGGAGGTAAGGTCTTGAGCATGATTCGGAGTGAGGGCCTCGACTCTAGGACGGTGGCCGAAGATTTTAGAAACTCAGCATAGGGGTTCACGTCATTCAGGACATTTTGAAGTTCGAGCATTATCTCCTTCGATAAATTATTTTTTTTGAAATGTCCTAGCCTTACGTCAACCTCCCCTTCGCCTCCATCTCCCACGACGTATATCTGTGCAAAGGAAGGAATTTTCTTCGCGGCTGGTAAAGCGGATCCGATTCGATGCGCCAATTGTCCTGATACCCGGAACGTGTTGATCCCCTTTTGGCCTGCGACGGATTGGTCTACTTTCACACCAAGAGATGTGAATGATAACGTGTTATTGTAGTGAGTGATATTGTCCTGAAATTCTTTCGCATCTACACGTGGTTGTCAGAACAATTCTCGACGACAGGCCGATCAAACGCTTACCTTTGTCTTCTCCAGTGTACAATTTCAAGAGACTATCAGGGAGCGTAGGTCCCTCGAATTCCCCCCAAGGCAAAGTTACCGAACCCTGCTGGCAACAATTCGAATAAGTTTCTTCTTGATGTTTTGATTTAAGTTTAGTCCTTTCTTCCCCCCATCTCAAAGCACCACAATGTTGACATTCATGGTTCTGTTCCCCGAGTCGATATGGGAGATCTTGGAATTTTCCTAAAATTGTGGCTTGATTGTTCTCGTTGCTGGCCCTGCACACAACTTTCTTATTCGAAGCCATGCCTGAATTCTCAAAAAAGATCGATGGATATCAATTCGAGGAGATGCTGGTGTCACTTATGGAGAATTACGGTTGCAAACTGTCTGGAATCGGTTACAAATGTTGAACCCGAACACACTCGGTCGAGAGATTTGGTTAAGTTGAAAAAGGTTGGAGGCTTGGAAGAAGTTTTGCTAGAATTGAGCGATTAAAGGTAAAAGTGAGGGTTTCGATATTTGGTACCTTCAGTTGTGACGGTTTCAAACGTCCACCCGGGGGTTATATGCATCGGAAGTGTACCATCGATGCATTTCAATTTCATAAGTAGAGCTTTTGAAAAGCATTCGTATCATTACGCCACGACGTGAAAAGCACACGGAATCTTTCGCAATCGGGTGCTTTCCCATCTGTGATAGAAAGATCTTCCGGTCAAGCTCGATCAGGAATGTTTACCACCTTCGTACGTCGCTAACTTGAAAGCTATATCTCATCAACACCCAAATCGAAACGAAACGCACCGAAATATAGGGATATTTCGTTTCGTTGAGATTGGACCGCAACGCAATCAAGCGAAATCGCAATCTGAACCGAAACACTCAAATTCACCTTAGGGTTTCGGTGCGTTAGATAAATCGCAATTCGAAACGAAATCGAACCAAAACCGCAATTTATTTCGGTTTTCACAGGGACAAACAGGTAACAAAGGAGAGGAGAAACATATGTATTAGGGGTAGCATTTGGAGAGGAGGAGAAACATACATTAGGGGTTATAGTTGTAGAATTGAAGTAATGAATGAAATAAAATTTATCAGGATAGTTTTGGTGAGCCGAACGAAGAAAGAAACAAAAAAATCACAGTTTTTGAAAGTGATCGAATGATAAAACATGAGAGTGTCAAGTCTTCTTGAGCCTCTTTGACACTTTCTTTTCTTTGGCCTTTTTAATCTCTGCTACAGCTTCTCTGTAACCTTCCGGGACTTCAATACCCTGACTAAGCCATTGATGGCACCCAACAGCGCGCTCGATCGTTTGTGGGGCCAGTCCTCGGTCCGCGCTGGCAATCCTTCCAGCTGCTGAGAACGTGCGTTCACATGCACATGAGGTAGCAGTACATGCCAAATAGTTCCGAGCTACTCGGCTGACAATCGGATATAACTTATGGTTTTCCTATGGAACACGGTGAGAAAAGACTGTTAAATGAGTTGAACTAAAGACAGATTCTGAGGTGATTCATTTACCTTCCACCATAAAAGAGGCAAGACTCCTTTGTTAGCAATGCATTTCTTGTCTAAATACTGTTTCAATTCTATATCGGTGTCAGTTGTATTTTCATCATCTGAACCATCGCTGAAATCATCGAGGTAATCTTCTGAAGTTGAAGGAGCGGAAGGAGTTGTTTTTGATGCTGATGTGCTCTTGGTGCTTGGCCTAGAAGCCAATTCGAGTTTGTATGCAGCTTCGACAAGCTCACGAACCCTTGGAACGTGGTCAGAAAAGAATTTGTGAAAGAATGTAGT